CCATTATAATCCCATTTCGCAGGTGGGGAAACTGAGGCCTGACAGCTTAAGTTCCTTCTGAAGGTCACATGACTCGTCAGGATCCAAATTCAGGTGTGTCTGTAGCCAACCTCATACAAGGAATGAAATCTCAGGGGCCAAGTGACAGAGCCCAGGGCCAAGAACAGCTGTCCTCCATCCTGTTGGGACAGAAGGAGCAGGTGGGTCCTGTGGTTTGAGGTGTTCCCTGGCCCTAAAGGGAAGATCCTGCCAGAGCCAAGAGTGCTGTCTAGAAAATACTAGAAGGACCTGAAGACTGTCTCTGTTAGACACTCTTGTCGGAAGATCTTAGACGGCAGAGAAACTTGCACAGTCCTGGCTTTCCCACACCCGCTGGTTGGGTGAGTCTGCATCAGCCACTAAATCAACGCATCTGCCAAGTTACTGGGATGCCAAGGTGGAATTTTCTGCCTTGGGTCAACACCTCTACAGAGGGAATCTTATCCTAAGTTCTCAACACAGAAGTAAGATCTCCTGAAGGCATCAGCAACGGTGGTTTAATTTATTTTGTTTTTATGTGTGCTTTTTCAAGAGCTCTAAACAAGTGTACATATGTGTGTCTTTGCTGGATTTTTTAAAAAAATAAAGGCCTATTTTGCAAAATAATAATAATAATAATGAAATAATCATTTGAAAGAAAATGTCGATAATTAAGAAATGATTCTGGCTTCCAGAATATTCTCTGAGAGCACTGTGGTCCTCGGTCAGCATATTTAATGGGAAAGAATCCAAAAATTTCATTGTTCCCTGTTCTCCTTTCCATTGTTACTGATCCAGGGTGCTGAGTGGACACAGGTGTGGGCTCAGACTCGGACTGTTAGGGAGACTGGTGCTCCATCCGGGGCTGGGGGGCGGACTGTATGAGAGAGCTGCTCACAAATGCAAATGGCAAGTCCCTTTAAGGCAGTAGCCTGTACTTGCACTTTTAGGCAAGGACAGATGATCAGGGCCTCTGCTCCGGGGACATGACATTTACATAGCGAGACAGCAGCATTTTACATTTTACATTCCTTTCACGGCCTGAATCCCTCCCACCACCCAAGTAATAAGGGATGAACCAAGTCTCATTCTGCACAAGCCAATGGGCCAATGAAAACTCACATGCCTAGAGCCATTCAACTCATTAATCATATGCACCCAAACCCTAGGAGATGAACCTTCCTCCTATAACCCCGAGCTTTTTACTAACGTTTCCTTCACGCATGAAGGCAAATATTCAGAGTGCCTGCTATGTGCAGAGCATGAAACATATAAAATAAGCAGGATGTTTTTAAATTAACACCATGTTTCAATCATCATCTAACCCTCCAACCTTTGTTAAATCAAAGTAACTTCTTTAAACAACTAATTGAAACAGTGATGCATCTCCCTCATCAAGCCTTGTAACTTTCCACATCCTGTCTGTTTCTAAGATGCTTTGCATCGGCCCTGCTCTCTCCTTGACCCTCAAGTGTCAGACCTCCGTGATAATGGAAAATCCCCACGTTCTCACTGTGATCACTAAGGATCTTGGAACTCTAGGATCAGGGATTGCAACATGGGGTTTGTGGCCTCCCCAGGAGTCCAAGAGTTGAATTGTACTTGGATAGAATTAGCTTCTGTTGTCATCCTAAGTGTCCCTTTCGAGGCATTTAGAAGCATTTATCCTAGAAGGGGCTGCGGGCTTTCATTAGACTCGCAAGTGACCCAGGGCACACTGTAAGGACCAGGGAAGTCTTTGGGAGGTTGGATTAAAAATCCTAACCAAAGCACAACCCAGGTCTGAGGTTTAACAACCGGCTCCTTGGAGTCTTGAAGCAACACCGCGCTGTTCCGTGGGGACCTGGGGAAACAGGCTGTTAACGCCTTGCTGCTAGTACTGTCATATGGTGCGAAAAGTAAAAAGCAGATGGGAAAACTGAAACTGAACCATGAATTATCTGTGGGGACATCATCTTTGATGCTTACATGTTTTTATGAGACCTCTTAGAATCTGATCTTAAAATCCATGGACACTTAGAGACAAACAGGAACTCTCAGGTAGGCTCCAAAAATTCCTTTACTTCTTCCAATGCAAACTTTTTGTTCCCAGTTGCAAACACCAGGGGAAAATATAGCGAGAATCACAAAGCCGGGAGAAATACATTTAGCTTTTCATACTGCCTCGCAAGGTCTTATACATATTAACACCAAATAAACAAACAAACAAACAAACAAAGCTCACTCCAACGGGGAGTACCAAATTCAGTGCATCTGATGCTTAATCGACTGATTTATTTACTGAAACAACGACAACAACAAAAAACAGTGCGTTTGAGACCAGAAATTGCTGTATGACAGGCTGTTTCCTAATTCCAACGGACAGCCGTAATTTTCCTTACGCTAATTTCGGTTTTGCACTCACATAATTAAAACTGCCGTCAACAGAGTCAGGCCGCCTTTTTCCACTCTATAAACAAGTCTGTAAAATCGTCGCATTACTTTGCCCAGGAAGCCCAACAGAACTAGTCTTAAAGGAAGTTCCCTATAAAGAGGGGCTATTTTATTTGGACAGAGGATTAAAAAGAATCCCCTTGAGGTCATTTTAAAGCTCACCTGAGATAATACACAAGATACAAACAAGGCAGTGCCGTCAAACGTGAAAGCGAGCAAGAGTATCCAGACAAGTATAAACTACCACCCAAAATTTATTCTAGAAGTCATGAAACATCCAAGTTTCAAAATACCTTCATATCCTCAGACGAGTATACTTTAAATTAAACAGTATAACACATCTGTGTTTTGCAAAACATACCCCACAGTCTAAAGGACGGTCTGTTACTTCAATGTCCTTCCATACACTGATTTTTTTGGGAACACATATAATTGGATCAAGCTCTTCAAAATTTACAGAGTATTTGATTTAAATTGTTATGAAATATGGACATAATTAAGAGAGAAAATACGAATGAAAAGGGTAGCATTTTGGATTATGCAATCAAATAATTTCTGCTCACATAGTTGAAAGGGGCACATCAAACCTTCAATTTTAAAATTCTTTTCTATGATAGTGTCAGCAGACTTGGATCCTTGAAGCCAGAGAAAGGAAAACCTCTGTAAGGTTAGTCTTTGATATGTGATTTTTTTTTAACATACATTATTGAGAATTCCTGGAAACAGCAAACATCCTTTGAAGAGTGAAAACTGAACAAAACTTCTGAGACACACTACCTAGGGTGAGTATTAATCATAACCTCTAATGCAAACATTTCAGATACTGAACCAAGGAAGATTTCTGAAAATGCCTTGGCTCAATTCTGGGCAAACTTCCGTAGTCGTGAGCTTTCACATTAACCAAAACCCTTGATGAAAACACAGCTGAACACTTCCCACCTACAGGCAGCAAAACTAAAGACACACAACAAATAAAGCTTTGCTTTCCTTCCCTTCGGTAGGTGTTTGCTGCTGAGTTTTTTCATTTTTACCAATGTCACCAAGGCGGGAGGGCCTTGAAAATATTTCAACAGATCACCACTTCATAGCCCCCATTCTACTGCCCAACACTCGCCACTAAACTGGCTTCACTGAAAGTAATTAGGCCGCGTTTAGATTCCCGTCTGAATGGATTCACCTCCCCATTAATTTCTATACACGATCTACTGGAGACATTGGCACGAAAAACACAGCAGACCACGTACCCCAGAGCAAAGAGAATCAACCGATAGGCTGCCGCTCTCCCATTCCCACAGACCAACTGTGACGGTCAAGAACGTTTACTCACAGCGCGTAGAGGAGTATTTTTATTAAAGGTAAATATATAACTGAACAAACCGATTACCACCGTTTGAGTTATGAGAACGCTCCGTTCTCAGCACGAAGGATCCAAAGAGCAAGTCAACATTTTCGTGTCTCATGACCAACCACCACTCGCCCGGCACCTCTTCCTCGCCACGGGGGCTGGCTAGCAACCCCAATGCTCAAGGAGTCTTTCAGAGCATCCAGAAGTCCATTTACAAGCCCATCTTTTTTCTCTGACCCTTCCCTCCAACCTCTCCGAGTCCATCGCCTTCCAGCAGATACACATCCACGCACCGCTAGGGATAGTTAAAGAACACGAAAATTCAGACGCGCTCCGAAAAGCCTTCGCGAAAGTCATCCACGGCCCTCAACAGTGAATTTAGAAACCCCAATTTTTTTCCGAGTTTGAAGTTTTTAAGCCTTGCGGATGGTTGGAGTAGGAAAAAGGAAATTTACTAGGCAGTGCAGAGGAAATCTTGTTGTCCTCTATTGTGGCTCTGGGGGGTGTTGCCCAATCCGGACTTATCTGCCTTGATAAAGGAAACCAAAGAAAAGAGTAACGAGCGCAAGATTTTGTCAAACGAAAAGGAACCCTCTCCTTACCTTAATAGTGCTGGCCATAATGCAATCAAGTTTATTGATCGTTAATAAATGTTAATAATAATTATTGCTTCTCTCTGACCAGAAAGTAGTTTTGATGAGGTTGTTTAGAGCGGATGAGATCGTGCTAAGTCTGGGAAATGAAGTCAGCCAATGGCAGGAAGACGTTTCTATTGGCCCTGGCCGCCGGGCCCGGAGAAACAGGATATTTGGGAGTGGAGAGATAAGGCACCCTGAAAACAATGTTGTTTTTCTTGATGATATGCAGCCAAGAGATTTTTTTTTTAATTAAAAAAAAAAAAAGGCATCAATTGCCGGGACAGGGACCACCACAGCAGGTGTGACTTGGTGTGCGGCGTATGGCACGCCGCGCACAGGCAGGATGCAGATGTGACGGGACTCCGCGTGGCTTCGCACGTGCTGTGAGCCCTTGGGCACGGGGCGTGGGGGGCCCCCCGCAGCCGGGTGCCAGGCCTCCTGGGCCCCCGCCTCCCTGGCCCTGACGCACACGCCTGAGACACAGGACCCGCGCCGCCCTGCCCCACACGCTCCCTGTCCCTTTCTCCAACACGGAAACTTTGCAGGTACAACTTATTTCACGTTACCGTATTTGCCTGCTGATGTTTCACGACCTTCACGGATTCAACATCTCAAGTGCGTATTCCAGAAGAGTTTCATTTTCTCTTTCCAAACACATGTAATTTTTTATTGGCTCCACAGTAAACCCGTCAAAAACACGCCAAGCCTCTAGAATTAGTACGGTGAAGCAAGACACAGAGAAAACTAATCAAGACCATCAAATCCTGGTCTTTAAAGATGTATTTAAAGTCCAAATAACTGAAACGACTACAAATGGTTTATCCTGTGAGCAGCCCGTCCCCCTCTGACAAAAGTCAACACCGTGGGCCACAGACCCTCAGAGAGCTCTTGACTATGCAGAGAAACAAGGTGAAGACCTCTTTAAGTGGCTTTAAAACCCAAGCTGTAAGTTCAGGGCCACACGTCTGTTTTCCACTCAAAGGAAGTACAGCTAATGTAAGCCTGAACATTCCTTAGAGGACTTCAGGCCTTTCTCATTTTCAGGAAATTACTTGTTCTCTGGAAGAAACGACATTTTGCTTTGAATCTAGCTACACAAAAGTTGGACCAGTAAAGAAATGTGGTCTCCACCAAGGGGACCTTCAGAACACAAGACACCGAATCCTGAGTCATTCAGCAGCTCTTGGTTCTAGACCTTCACTCGGACTTCAGGCCTGCACATGTCGGAGTTCTAGAAACTAGCCCGGGTCCCTTTATTTTTTATTGTCCCCTGACTCACCCCTTTGCGTTAGGATAGAAGGAGGAGGAAGGGGGGCCGGGGAAAGAAACAAAGGAAGAAAACAAAGGGAAAAGGGAAAATAAAAGAAATCCTATTCTGGGTAAAAATCAGAGCCTACATGTTCTCAACGGCCACACTTTGAGGGGGTGTTGATTTCCCCTCTTTTCATCTCTGAACAATGAAGGAGATGGCAGGCCGATTAAGATTTTGTTTCCCCCAAAGTTTCAAAGTGCCGAGTTGTTTTCTCTGGGCAGCGTCCACAAGGATTCAGGAGTGCGGAGATGAATGCTCTCCGCTCCAGGGGGATCCCTTGCTTTGGCTCTCCTGAGAAGCATCGATTGTGACTGTTACCCGCGGTGCCCCCCTGAGCAATGCTCCAGTATTTATTTCCCAAAGACCAGCATTAAACAGGATGAACACTGTGCTCACAAAAGAGCCTTGGGGGAAACTTCTGCCTGGTTCTACCTCACCCTGGTCTTTCTTGTCGTCCCCAGAGACCCAGGGCACCTAATGCTTCATCAAGCCTCTGCTCTTTACTCCTTGGTCACTGCTTAGTTCAGATCAAGCAGTGAAATCTTTTCATTCTTTATGGGGAGGGGGAGTTTCCAACGTATAGAAATAAGTTAATATAAAGGACTCCTAGTATCTTTCAGCCAGTTACTCCAACTGCTGGTAATTGACAACATTTCCTTTTGCTTTCTCGCTCTAAAATTTATGTATTAACTCCTATGTGCGTATATATACACTTATCTCCTTTATTCCTTTTTAAAAATGTTTTAAATGTTTTCATTGATTTTTGAGAGACAGAGCATGAACGGGGGAGGGGCAGGGAGAGAGAGGGAGACACAGAATTCGAAGCAGGCTCCAGGCTCTGAGCCTTCAGCACAGAGCTCGACGCGGGGTTCAAACTCACAGACCGAGAGATCATGACCTGATCCGAAGTTGGATGTGTAACCAACTGAGCCACCCAGGCGCCCGTCCTTTATTCTTTAATTAATAAAAATATTGTTTTATTAGAGACTAATTTCTTTGCTTGGATACTTACAAACAGAAAACCAGATATGACTATTTGACCTATTTCCTCAAGAGTCTATCTGTAAGTTTCATTGTGCTGAATTTTGAAAATGCAGACAAATATAGAAATGATCTAATTAAAAAAAAACCATTTTCAGATAATGGGTTGTAATTCCTGTCACAAATTTTTCAAAAGGCAAATATTCTTCATTTCCAACAAGATATTTGATGGATTCTTACCATCTTCAAGGATAGTAATTCCTGATGTCTATAATGGCATGATAACATCCAAGTCTAATATTCTCTGAATAGTTAATGCAAAGTTGCTTTTTTTAAAAATATTTTACTTATTTTTGAGAGAGAGATAGAGACAGCATGAGCAGGGGAGGATCAGAGTGAGAGGGAGGCACAGAATCCGAAACAGGCTCCGGGCTCTGAGCTGTCAGCACAGAGCCCAATGCGGGGCTCGAACCCACGAACCGCGAGATCATGACCTGAGCCGAAGTCGGACGCTCAACCGACTGAGCCACGCAGGCGCCCCTGCAAAGTTGCTTTTTAACTCTGATTGGCTATTGGAAGCATTTGACATGTCTATTAATTAGAATAAAGTAGTGCAGGGGCGGGGGCCTGGGTGGTTCATTCAGTTAAGCGTCTGCCTCCTGATTTTGGCTTTGAGGTCAAGATCTCACGGTTCATGGGTTCAAGCCCCACATCAGGCTCTGTGCTGACAGTGCAGAGCCCCCTTGGAAATCTTTCTCTGTCTTCTGCTCTCTGCCCCTCCCTTGCTTATGCTCTCCTTTCCTCCTTCTCTCTCTCTCTCTTTCAAAATAAATAAATAACTTTAACATTTTTAAACAGAAGAATTGAGTAGTGCAGAAACCAGGTCCCAAACATGATTCCCTGGGGGAATAATCCAAAGATAAAGGTATCACTTAATCCTCCCCTTTACTCCCACCATCCCAAGCCGACATTTACATTGGGCCTCAGCACCAGATCACTCAGCATCTTAAGGACTGGGCGCCTTCTAACCAGACAGCACTCCTCCTTAGGGGAAGCCACCTTCAGTAACCAGGCAGACCCATGTCAGGGCCAATATAGCAGAGGGGCACAGCCTGGGGGCCATCCTGCCCGGGTCTGCCAGGACAGGGTCCTTCTCCACTCTCTTTGGGACACAGCAAACACCACAATGGACAGTGTGGCCCATCAGTATCTGTGGACATCTGAGCCCATGAGTGAATTCTACATTTCCATTTTTACTTACCCATCATGGACCCATTCCCCATGATGTTACCAAAACTCCTTGTAAGCCTGTTCCTATCTTGTTCCAAATGAAAGAAGGAAATCATATTAAACTGACCATACATTTCCTCTAACAGTAAAAGGGGGCATTGTCATTTAGTTGTCTTAAAACCATGTGCTCCCCGGGGTGCCTGGGTGGCTCAGTCGGTCGGTTAAGCGTCCGACTTTGGCTCAGGTCATGATCTCATGGTTCGTGGGATCGAGCCCCGCGTCGGGCTCTGTGCTGATAGCTAGCTCAGAGCCTGGAGGCTGCTTCTGATTCTGTGTCTATCTCTGTCTCTGACCCTCCTTTGCTCATGCTGTCTCTCTCTCTCTCAGAAATAAATAAAACATAAAAAAAAAAAAAAAAAACCATGTGCTCCCGTTTTCTACAGGGGCAACAAATTCTCATCCTTATTCTGTTACTAACTTCTCTACATGGGATCGATGGAGGAAGGTCAAGAGTTGAAACACTTTGGATGAGGGCGATACAGTTCTAAAAATGATGTATGAGCGCAGCAAAGAGATAATAAACCATAATTTTAATTGAAGACCCAACAGAAGACTCGCTCATGAAGGACTGGTTAATCCCAGTATTAAACATCGTACATTGGAATGCTCATCAGTGCTGGAAATACTGCAGAGAAATGACATAACAGATGAATGCTCAGTGACGTGGAAAACTGTTACGAGATTAAGTCTGGTAAGCTAAAAATTGGGTTATAAGAGACCATTATGTCAGAGACCCATTTTGTTAAAAGTAAAAAGGCAAGAGAAAACTACCAGTAGGCTATACGCTATGGTACTAACGGTAGATAGTCTTTCTTTTCTTCTTGCTTTTCCTTCTTCTCCTTTTGTTCATCTCAACTTCTGAACATTGACAGTAAATTGAAATTAAATTTTAATGTAAAAGTTATAGAAGTAACACGTAAGGTTCAATGTGTTTTTAGAAATATCTGTGTGACATTCAGCAGATAATACTTACATTTGTGGAGTTCTGTGTGTGCGTACCCAAACACATGTTTCTTTTTATTTTTTTATTTTTATTATTGTTATTAAAGTTTTTTAATGTTTATTTATATTTGAGAGAGGGCACAAGTGCAGGGGGGGGGCAGAGAGAGACACACACACAGAATCCGAACAGGCTCCAGGCTCTGTGCTGACAGCTCAGAGTCTGACGCAGGGCTTGAACTCATGAACCGTGAGATCATGACCTGAGCTGAAGTCTGATACTTAGCCATCTGAGCCACTCAGGTGTTCTGATTTGCATATTCCTTTTTACATGTCTACAGCAAGAAGAGAGGAGCCCTGTGTGTAATTCCATTTAGTAAGGGAACCCAGAAGACACTCTTGTGTTTTGTCACGGTCCTCTATCCAACATCAACCCATCCTGTCCAGTAAAGGGCCATTTCCATGCCAGGCGTGCTGGTCTGCACCAGGAAATAAGGCATGACAGGACTTTGTCCAGCCACTAGGTGTCCAATACTCAGGAAGTCTGTGTTTGTCTACTCAGGTTCTGCCCACATAACACTGCGGAGCCTGGAACCATTCCATGAGATGCAAACGTTTTAAGGGTAAAACAATGGACCAGGGCCTCTATATTGTCCCTAAAATGACACATGAACCTTAAAATGTATACTGTTTGGATTATTCATGAAAGGCCTGCAAGAAGGATGTCCCAAGGATTTTTGCCAGGGACACGGCTGAGATTCCAGATAAGGATCAAGCATCTGGAGCTGCCCCCTCAATGGAAAACTACCTCACTCAGTGGAACTTTTCCGTCTCTTGGAGGTTTTGCCTGAGAATGGGTGCAGCGTAAGGCACTCTCAGCCACCAAAGTCGCTCATTACACGCAGGTCGGGGACCGTTTTTCTATTCAAAGCTTACTGCGTAGCAGTTTCACTCCATTGAGTAAGACTCTGTATGTGTGTGCGTGTGTGTGTGTGTGAGAGAGAGAGAGAGAGAGAAAGAGAGAGAGAGAGATGCCCTCCAGCAGCAGATTAAGAAATAATCCAATTACAATTTATATAACTACTGTTTCAACACCTTGTCTACGTGGTAAATAGCATTCTTCAACCTCTTGGTTGATTTGAACTCATCTAAACCAAGGAAATTGTTATCACATACTAAATCCTCAACTTCTCAACACCAAGTTGCAATTTCCTTAATTTTGAAGCACGTGTCAGTTCGGCTCTACAGGCTCAAATGGAGCAATGATTCCAATGAATGCAATTTCATAAGCATCACATATACTCTCATGTTTTTTGGCAACTTTGCTCTTACCCAATGCCATACGCCTCT